ACTAAAGAACAAGAAAGCAGGACTAATGGCACATATAGCACATAGTACTGCTGGTAGCCAAAACTTAGCTGGCTTAAAATGATTATTCTTGCCAGTAGGTATAGTCCAGCCATGAAACGATAATCAAAAGTGTTCTCAGTTCCGTTCTTATAAGGACCAGTAAACACATCGGCTAGTGTTATCAGTAGCTGTTTCCTTAAATGTAAGCAATCCAATAACTTTTGAAACCATTTGAATCGATAAAACAATATACAAAGTGTTGGTAGAACTATCAAAAACAGTAACACTAAGATTGCCAAAAGTCCCAAAAAACCATACTCAACAAAATAAGTAATGCTTGTGTCATTATAGAATCTTGTATGATTAAAGCTATTTTTAACGCTAGGAGTAAAGCTCAATATTTTAAAGGAAGTGGAAGTTAATTGAGTAAAGCAGAGTATATATATTGATGCTATAGAGTGAGTAAAAGATGGTTCAATGCGAGTCATACTCCAGAAACGAGCCATGCAACGATGAAATGGTCTAGTAACCAATACTACACACTTGTAACCTTTATCATACAATGTCATCCAAACATAGAGTAAGAGAAGGAGAAGCAATGGATAGAATCCTATCACATACCAAAAGGAGGTTGATTCTAATGGTGACATGTGATCTGATATACATAATGGAATCTGATTAAATAGAAATGGAGTAAAGTCTAAATTGAAAATATAGCATGGTATAGCAGTTAGGTGTCGTAAAGTAATGTCTGTATCACAAGTGTACTGGTCCTCGTAGCTGTTGAGGCCATTTATAGACTGTGTGATTGCAATCAATTGCAAACAAAACACCACAGCATTGATTGATCCATTAGTTAGTTGTATATTGAATATTATTATTATTATTACCATGAGTGTCATTGGTAACAGCTCTAGTCCAATAAACAATGTGATACCATATTTGGATGGTTCTGCACAGTCAATGCAAGTTAATCTGTTAATGGGTACTCCAGTATCATTTGTACACATTGATAAACATTGTTTTGTGCTACTGTCATAACAGCATGATTCTTTATAGCAATATGCACACTTATTGTAAGGATAACTATAATAGCCATAAAAATAGTTATCATAATTATAGTAAATAAATAGAAGGCTGTACTCAAAGGACTCGTGTTACAAACTTGTATTGATGCTACACTGCAATTATTGATAATGCATTCCCCATTAACAAAATTGGTGTAAGACCTGCACGTGGGATTCACATATACTGTTACTGTAGTATTAATGCTGAGTGGGCCAAGCGTTTCAATGTATACTGTTGTTTTAATTGGACCAGCATTAATACTATTATCAAAACAATGCGGTTGCAATTCATAGTAATACCAAGAATTATATTGACTTAAATCATAATCATATTCATACTCTGTTTGTTGTTGGATCCTTGCATTGCAGCAATAAGAGTGGTTGACACATACGTGTAAAGGATTATTCCAGTTATATGTTTTCATTTTACAGTTATCAGTCACAGAGACATTGAATCGAGGATATTCACAATTACAGTAATTAGATTGGCATTGATAGTCTTCGCCATAATCATAGTCATAATCAGAGTCGGAGCACAGTACAGTAAGATTTATAAATTTAACATTCAAAGTCAGATTTGAGCAAATCTCTTGTGCTAGTTGATTGTGTGTAGTAAGATCAAAGGATGGTTCAGTACATGTAACAGGAACATTGTTACAATTATAAAGACTAACACATTCAAATACAATATACCTCAACCAGTTATATGAAGAAGAGGAAACATGGAGACATGTGATACTAACCTCTTCATATCTACTACCATCCCTCATACCAATAATACTCACATTATTCCTCAGTAGCTGTTGCTCTAGTAGACTAGTAGTGTCTAGTGTATATGTACCAGGAGACAGGTTGATAAGGATACCTGATGAACAGTTGTATTGTAGAGTAGCAGTTCCTTGTATAGCTAGATCAATAGTAGCACAAGGTGTTTGAACTCCTCCAGTCCAACAAGAGGTATTGTTGATACCATGAGATGAACTGACATAGATCCTACACTCCAAACCAGCAGCAGAATATACTAGAACCAGGTAAAGAAGAGAGACAAGAACTACTGTTCCTGGTTACACACTACAATTGTATAGTCAATCTTTGTAGTAATTAACTTTAAAAAAACAAAAACAGAACAATTGAGGCACACTACTTTGCTGTTTAAAACATTATACACATACATTCACTTGACATAAATCTCATAAAAACTAACAGGAGTGTCTTCATCTGCTGTTGCTTGATCTCCACACACCCTCAACTCAATATAGTCAGTAGTGGTAGTGTTACCATAGTCTCTGTGAAACCATGGGATACCAGGAGCAGCACAGCAAGTAACTTCAGGAGAACCACAACTTTGACCATCCCAGAGTGGATCAGATGTGTAGAGAACAGGAGACCAACGAGCAGCATGATTACCAGACTCACAGAAGTAATGTTTTCCTACAAAAGATGGGACGGTCTGAGTACTCCCTGTTGAACATGGACATATAATTTTTGGATTATTGTTATAAGTGTCAGTTACGCCATTTGCAAGCGTCCAGACATGTTGACGAGGAAACCCACGAGTAATACTAACACCATCAACATAAAAAAAATTGAGGTCATTAGAAAATGCACTTGGTGAATTATATTGATATCCTGTTACTCTACCACATATCTGAGACTAACTGATACCATTAGATGGGAACTGAACTGATGCACAGCCACCACTGCTTGTTACTGGTCTACTACATGCTCTAACTCCTCCTGACTGGTACAGTCTAAACCCAG